GAGGTTACTAGATATTTCATAATCGACTAATTTCCAAGCATCGAATGGACGAAGGAAGGAAGCGAAGTGACGAAGTAACGCGAGGAAGTAACGCGAGGAAGGGACGCGAGGAAGGAACGAAGTGTGAGTATAGGGCTTAACTAAGTGAAATTGTTTAAAAATTATAAGAATTGGCTATAACTCGGTAATTTTTCGAAGAAAACATATTATAGCTTATATCGCTAAAAAGCTTAAAAAATGGCGCTTTTTATGAAGTCATGGCTAGTCATGGCCAACTATGGTTTCCATTTAAAAAAATATATGTTTGTGTCATATGTCAAAAATGACAGGCTTAAAAAAAACGGAGGACACGGTCTCATTAAGGATGTGATTATCTACAACTTTTATCTGAAAACTTTTTGTCTAAAATAGCTTATAATGGAATTAGAGTTTTTAAAATAGCCGAAATTTGTTTTTTTCGAGATATCTAGTACAGTACAGTACGTCTGTCCGTTCTGTGGCTACGGGGTATCCGTGAGAGGGGAAACGATATTCTCTCGATGTTTTTCGTAAAAAATTAGACGACGCGTCCCATCAGACGAACTGTACATCTGCTGGATCTGTGTCTATGAAAGGAATGCGGACAAAAAACATTTAAATAAACAGCAATATATTTTATACGTCGACTTGACGAGTACGTCACCGCAAATCGCTCCGCCCACTCATTTTATTGGCTACTTGCAAATTTGTCGAATTTTTATTGATGGGACGCGTCGTCTATTTTTTTACGAAAAACATCGAGAGAATATCGTTTCCCCTCTCACGTATACCCCGTAGCTACAGAACGGACAGACGTACTGTAAGCTATGAACTTTTTCAAAAATCTGAAAGGCGAATATTTATGACCCCACAAAACTGCAATTCTTTCCCCATTTAACCGACTTAGTAGGAAACTTACCCTATATCTACAGATGCCCGACGCACTATTATTGGAGCCTTGGTCCCCCCTCCCCCCTAAAATCTATAAATTGGGTTAAATATTAGGCTTTTGAGTTAAAAAAAGCATATATTCTACATTACTTTTTATTTGGCCCTCCTAAAATAAATTCCTGTATCCGCCCCTGCCTGTATGTATTATCCTTCTATATGGATTTTTAAGAATATATAAACAAGGGTATTATGAAGAATATTTCTACTGTATGAGAGTAGATACAAGTTCATACCAAATAAACTTTTAGTCACGTGATTAAGCTTGACCGGTACAGCGTTGCCCACTTTTATATATTTTCTATTAATCAAAATATTTTAAGAAACGAAAATAAATAAATTATAAATATATACACAGTTACTATTTACATCAACAAAACTCGCCTTCTTAACAACACTTAAGGGACATAAAGGGCCATTACTACCGCTTTCTCGTTCAAAATATTCTAATAAAGTTGCGATGAGTTTTTTACGGCTATTAAGCTATCTTGTAGACTTCGCACTAAAACTTCTCTCTAAAACGAGGTGTCTTATTTAAGACTCACCCTGTATAGTAACAAACCCATTTTTTGTTCTCTCTATAGTAACAAACCCAAGCATTTTTTTTAATATAGGCAACCAGTTATATTACATTGATTCCTTTGGCCTCAATACTCACCGCTCGTGCCCGACATAAAATAAGTATTTATACAATATGCTAGTGAACGTTACGTAGGAGGCCTGATACCTTTGAGCTAAAACCTATGATTAGTTCTCAAGATTCTTAAGCTCGTTTACTGAAAGACTCATGTGTCACATGGACTCTCAAAGGGGTGATTTGGCCTCCTTTTTTGTTTTTATTTTCATTAGTTCAAATTAAACGATCCTTCCTTTCATTTTATTCACTTATAGGTACTTTTACATATCAAAAGGATTAATCTGGACACATCATCTGATTAATTAATGTAGAATCAAATGGAATATACAAGGTGCTTCACGGTCATGGCGTGTGATTTATATGCCGTGGTCATGGTATGTTAGACGTTTAGGGAGAACCGGTGATAGTTTTTTTTAGTAAGTTTGCATGTTCTGGTTAAGTAGCTATTGCAGCTAGACTACGCCAGACTTGCAATTTTGTTACCATTTTATGTATTTCTTTTTTATGTGAAATAAAGGTAATTTATTATTATTATTATTAAATTTAGAGAACCACTGAATCTTTTCTGGGGTTTCTTTCTTATAAATTTAATCTGCTTGCTATATACCCATATTATAGCAGATATGTTTTTTAACTAAAAATTAAAAAAAATCCAAAAAATTCTAAATTTTCAAGTTCCAGTGTTCCTGGAGTCGAAATATACTACTCCTAAAAATATTTCACATTTATTTAAGACCAACCCTATATATTTTTTTAGGAAAGGCAGAATAAAAACAAGATTTTTCTATAAAACTGGATATAATTTATGAATCAACTATGTGTACATTTTTAAACAATACACATAAATCTTACAGTCCGGCTTATAAACAAAATATACAAATTAAATAACATTTTACAATTCTTGTGCCGTTTCTTTTTTATTGTACAGTGGTAATAAAATTTAAAAAAATGTGAGCCACAATTTCTATTTACAGAGTTCTCTAAATAATAAGTAAAAAAATAAAGCTATATATTAAAATTATAAAAAACCCTCCTCGCTAAAACTTCAACAAAATAAAGCTCTTAATTTTTTTTAACTTAAAATAAAACTATTGTAGTTGAAATTTTAAGGAGGCAGAAGGTGCCTTTATCTTAAAAGTTAACCTAACATAAACAATGTCAACAAACAACAAAAATTTTACACTGAATAAAAAATAAATAAATAAAAAACACTGAGTAAATAGAAAATGTTTAAACTTATTAAAACTAAATGAAATAGGATTTTGTTCATTACTCTCAATTTAATATATGTTTTCAACATTAGGTAACAAATGGCTTGTGCTCTTACTAAATTGAAAAAATTATTCACTTTCATACGCTATTATTTACAACCTTTAGAGTTATCATTCACAACAAAATTTTGTAAAAAAATATTCAAGTAAATTTCCCATTACAGCCAAAATTCTTAACGGCAATGAAAAAAGTAAGCTGAGCTACAACTTTTTACCATGATGTATATATTTACATAAAAAAATTAGTCAAGCTGTCCAGCAGCTTTAAAAATAAATGTGTTAAAAACTAATGTTGTAAAAGTACTAATAATATCACTTGAAAAAATATTTATAACAGTATGTCAAACATGGTTAAAAAAATTTGGCCATTATAATTCAAAACTGCTGCTCAAATCGTAAAATATTTTTTTCTACAAAAACTGTATAAAACTAACACATAACAGAAAATGCAACAAATATACAGGATAATACGATTTTAATGATAAACAAACTAAAAGATTATGAAGTAAACAAAATTTTGAATCATTTAGCAAAGTAATATTACTATTAAAAAAATCATTTTATAAATTGTTAATAAAAATTATACACAATAATTGTATTTAACAGAATATTGATCACATAGAAAATTCAGAAACAGAGTTCAAAATATAACAAACTAAAAATGTAGTTATACAGGGTGACGCACCTCATTCGCCTCGATGGATTATACGAAAACGGAAAGATGTAGAAACAAAATATGTTATGGGTCTATCTGGGAAGACAATGTGCATAATTTAAAATTATCTTGAAATGTACAGGATGTGTCAGAACTAAGATCCATACCAAAGTTATATTTTTTTCTTATGGAACACCCGGTATTTTATTTCATTTTTGGATTCTTGGACATAAAATAATGCATTTTTTATAAGGGTTTAATATGTTTAAAAGCTTTGGTGTTGTGAAAGTCGAAGCAGTTTTCAATAAAATTGTAATCAAGATGGCTGATGTCGCCATGGCAATTTTCTAGTGACACTTAGCAGCTATTTTCAAAATCGACATTAGTGTATGGACTATGGAAATTTATAACAGGTTATTTTATTTTATTTACCTACAATAAGTTTATTAAGTAAGTACTTATTATTTTATCAAGAAAAATGAAGCAGTATCTCCTGGCGGAAGGAATTCATATGTTAATAGTGATTTTATTTTGTGAAGACAATTGGTTGTTGGCCTGAAGGGTTTATGTTCAAAGAGATATCCAAATAGAAATTTTCTAGACAAGAGTTTTTTAAGGTTTTTTTAAAATACTATTTTTCCTATTTCGCAGAGCTGATAGTGTGGTATGTGAAAAACCTATTAGGCAGTAGTTGGTAGTGAAGAAAATGAATTTGCCTTAATTGGTCCTTTTATAGAAAATCTAATATATCTACAAGTCATCGTAATATAAATAAAAAAACTACTTTATTTTTCTTGATAAAATAATAAATACTTACATATTAAACTATTATAGGTAAATTAAATAAAAAGTAAACTGTTATAAATTAAAATATAAAGTCCCTCAAGTAAGGTCTATTTTGAAAATAGCTAATAACTGTCATTAGGAAATTGCCATGGTGACACCAGCCATCTTGATTGAAAAATCGCTTTTTATTCAAAATCTGAGCCAGATAAGTATAGGAAACCCTAATATAGTTTGAAAGAGCATTTAAAGCTGCTTCGACTTATTTAAAAAAAATACCAGTAAGTACCATAATAAGTATTGTATTTGAAATAACGAAGTTTTTATGTAAAATAAATATTTAAAATAACCCAGCAATTTTTGATACCCCTGTATACATTTAAGGAAGCCATAACATTTTTTAGTAAAGTTTATTTCTCTGGCTTCAAAGTCAGCACAATAATTAACTCTGAAAAGTAATGTACAGGGTGTTTACAATTTTTTTTATTATAACATGCATACTTAAATATCTTTAAATATCTCAAAAACCAAAGCATTTAAACATATTAAACCCTCATAAAAAATGCGTCATTTTATGCCCAAGAATCCAAAAATTAAATAAAACACAGGGTGTTCCATAAGAAAGAATATAACTTTGGTATGGATCTTAGTTCTGAGACACCTTGTACATTTGAAAATAATTTTAAATTATGCATATTGCCTCTCTACATATACCCCTAAAAAAATGTTGTTTCTACATCTTTCCGTTTTCGTATAATCAACCGAGGCGAATGAGGTGCGCCACCCTGTATATTCCTGGAATTCCATGTTTAACCATGTTATTCCCCCCCCCCCATGTTATAATGTGATTTTCCCATCCAAATCACGCCTCTACAATGGACCATTCGAATATATCAGTGCATTTAACAAAAAAATAGTCTGAGAAAAATTAACTATCTATATAAAAAATAAAAAATATTTAAAAAATTATTTTTTCTTTTAATTAATTTTATATTGTAATTATATATTATCATTTGGCCAATAAATTGACCTATGATCGTATACAGACCTAATAGTATTTTCGTTCGTTTTAGTTACTTACTTTATACATCATTAGTTAATTCTTATCAAACAAATCTGTAATATATTTTTTTCTGTAACAAAAACAGTCAAATGATCAAACGACAACAATGAGTCTTTCCAATGAGAGGATACATTACAATGGCAGATGTTGCCTGTCAATTCACAAATAATTTGTATATATTTTTTGGCTGTAGTATGTCGAACTCTTCTGTGGCTTGTTGGACAGAGTTTAATCACTTTATTTAAAACAGTCTTTAACTTTTACTTCTCACAGGATTCTATTTTGAGTTTGACTTATGTGATCAATACTGTCATCTCATGTAGCAATTAATAAGAAGGAACGATATACCGAAATTGGTTTAAATATTCTCTATGGTTTAAAGAACAAATAAGACAAAATGTACAATAGATCGAAAAAAAACGGCGTCAATGATGGCTATGAAATGAAGATCGCTGTCAAAATGTCATCGATCGTCATTTCCAACCTAAACCAACTGGACGCCGTTCTTTTTTCGATCAGACGGTATTTCAATACATTGTGTATAAAAACCAAAGGCTTTGTTTGCAAATTACAAAAATATTAATTTTATAAATATATTTATAAAATGAAATATTCTTAACAAATATAATAGGTTTTTAAACTTTTCCTACACTGAATAAGCTAAAATGTTAATATTACACTTAATGGATGCACTTATAAACCTTTGGAGCTAGATTTTAAAACTAATTGCAAAAGCATATTTATAGAACTTATAGAACCGGAGATGTCATAATTCAGGAACGGGGACATAATAGAACTGTATAGAACATAACCTAAAAATTGAAGAAGTTTTCCTTATTGTGTTTTTTGAAAATTCGTAGAAAATTAATCCTATAATGAAAAGCAGCTTTGAACTATTTTTTATAAAAAGAACAAAAAATATATTTCAACATAACAAAGAAATGCATTCAAGCCATTTGTCCTGTACAATATGGGATGTATTAACAATCTCTATCTAATTAAAAATTGTCAACACGAGTTAATCATTTTAAATGAAATATATAAATTAGTACTATTATATGCATTATTCACAGTTATTATAACTTACAATATGTACAAAAATATGATTACATGTCTTAAAATCTGAGGGGCTGATAATTGACTTTGTACAGATTAATAACTTATCTTTCTTTACCTCATCTGGCTGAAATTCTACGCGGAAAATGTTCTAAAATAGTAGCTTCAGGGTTCGGAACCACTCTTATAAAGTCTGAATAATACCATTTGCTATTTATAAATTAATAAACTCTCATAAATATCACACGACACGTTTAAACACTAAGCATTACTCGACATTTCGTTACAAAATTTAATTCAACTCAACTTACTCTCGAGCCTAGAGTAGTCGCTCTTCCATCTCGTCAAAGTCCACTTTTAAAAAGTATACGACTTTCCTCCCACAACAATCTAACAACAATTTAAGCTACTTATGACCAGAACTTGAGTATATCTTAGTAGATCCAACAGACTACTGTCAAAGTCTATGGACGATGACTGTACAAAATCAGTCACATTCAAACTCTGGCAACTTAGAACAGTGCCTTAAGTAACTCGTCTTTCTTAAACTAAGAGGGTCAATCGATCCTGTAGAATAATTCGCCTATCGTATAATCTCATATTAATTCGTCCCGAACCCCGCAGTGTGATGTATATTCAGCGTTCTGCCAACGAGGCGAGCTGTGAATTTTCCATAATTCAATTTAATTAGCGACCTAACTATATTACAGCGGCACGTTGCACAGTTATCACCTAACCTCACAGTCTTTGTTGAGTGGAAGAGGAGGAGGGGCGGACTGGAGGGCCTCGGGCAAGCCCTCCAGAGGGTCCGGCTCGGCGGACTGCTGGACGGGGTCAGGTGGCGGCTGGCCTGGCTGCGACGCTTGGTCTTCCTCGGTGCGGGCGGATCCGGGCTCGCACGACGAGGATGGTTTCATGATGTAGCCCGAGCCCTCGCCGCACCGAGACAGCTTCAACTTAATAGGGGTGAGTTTGGGCAGTTGCTTATCTTGGGGAAGTTCGGCTGGTTTTACCGGTACCTTCGTTGGGCTTTGCGAATCTTTCTCTTCGCCAGCATGAATTTCGCTGGCCTGACTTTTCGCTTTGCCAAATCGAATTATTAATTTCGGTAATACTTTCGAGGTAGCGTCTTCCTTAATAATTTGAACTTCGGCGCCCGATTTTTTGCGTTCCTTCTTACGGTGTTTGTCGCTTTTATCTTTCTTTTTCTTTTTCACTTTCAGATCGGCCATGACCAACTTACGGAACTTCATGCTCTCTCGCCGTAAATCGTCTACCGATGGTTTCGGCATAGTAGCCAAGCGTTTCTTCGGCGGTCGTAAGTTCTTTTCCTCCACTTTTTCTTCAGTGACCATGTTGCCCGCAGTACCGATTTTAATTTTCAGTTTAGGTGCAGTAGGAACCGATCTCGGTGGCCGTCCCCTACGTTTATTTCCTGACTCGAAGTTATTTATTGGATTATTACTACTAAAGGTGCGTCTTCTGTCATTAAGATCGTCGTCGACTGAAAGGTCTAACTGTTTAAGTTCTCTAGATAAGCCTCGAGATTTTTTATGATGTTTTGCCTCTACTAAACTGTCGTCAGCTCCAGTGCGGTAATCCCTATAATCCTCTTTAGTAGGTATGCTTGTCATCGATGCTACTGCTTTGGGTATAGTGATGATTGTACGGTTAACAGGTGGTACAGTTGCTGCAGCAATAAAACTAGAATTGCTCGATGGATCATCCATATTCATGTCTTGAGTCCAATATTGCCTTAACAATTCTTTTTTCCTCATCCTTCTCAAACTGGATGTACCTCCCGAAGATATTCCGATTGAAACGCCCGCTGTTATACTACTGACTTGATTTGCTACAGCACTCGAAACTGGATCGATTGGAGGCGGAGCAGCGTTGGGAGTATAGTTGGCAATTGGACCCTTAATTTTTACCTTCAACTGGTTACGGGAATCGGACAGAGACACTTTAATATTGCTACTGTTATTGCTAACAATCTCGGCCGGAGGAAGTTCAGCTGGCTTTTTCGCTGTCAGAGCGGAATGAAGCTCTTTCTCGAAATCTTCATCGATATCTTCAGGAACTTGAGCTCCCGCCGTTCCCGATGCAAATGTGCCTAGAAGATTTTGTTCGCTATATGCTGACTGATCAAAAATAGTGCTATTATATGTTCTCATATCAACAGGTCCAGGCAGAACAGGTGTAACATCTGGAAACGGTATTGGCGTATCTATGTCCCTCAGCGATTCCGTCTTCGATTTGCCATCTTCTATTGGACTGGGCGGTCTCAAATCGCGAAGATCGGCTGTAAAACGGTTCTTTGGACTGGAAAATTTCGGTGAATGGGGTGAGAAGGAATCATATTTCTTCTCATGCACGTCTATCGATTTTCTTCGTTCCCTCATCGATTTGAGATCAGCCATGTTATCATTGGAAATATCGTCGTCAAAATCTAAATCATAGACCGTTCCAACTAATTTATTATGTATTGTATTAGTGTTGATAAAGTCAAAGTCGTTATGATGCCCTCCGCGACCTCGACCCCGCCCTCTACCGCGACCCCTTCCTGAAACTTGAGTTTTTGACATTCCTGACTTCCCTGAACCCCGTTTACTTTCTCCGCGACCTTTACCTGATCCACTCTGTCTTTGTGTGACTTCTTGCCTAGGACTTTTACCTGGAGATTTGGCTGGCGATTTATTCATTAATTGCGATGTCACTCTGGCTGATGTCCTGGTTGGTTTACTTGGTGATTTTTTACCTATAAGTGAAATATACATATTTAGTACTGGCGTAAAAATGTGCAAAACAGCATATAACTTACCCACAGAACTTTTACTGGAAGTGCTAGGAGATGGTAAAGTATTGTTAGTTGGTGTCGTATTATTGCTCAAAACTGGAGATGGCAATACTTCCTCTGATTGGTTACATGGAGGTAACACTGTACTTTCAGTAGAAGTTAATGTAGGTGCTTCTATAGATTGGTCGCTCGGTTGGGTTGTAGTAGGAATGTTTACCATTGCTGCAGTTAAAGCCATATTGTGCTGTGAGGAAGTAAATGCAGCAGTACATGGCGACGAAAACGAAACGTTTTCTTCCAGCGGTTTGGTTTGATGTGGTATGGAATGGGGAAAGGATGCACCAAAAGCAGGTGGAAACATACCAGTAGAACCTGTAGGGGCATATGGAAGTTGAGTGCTATGGTTAGGAGGAGGAAATAAACTAACCGGTACATACTGAGATGTGGGATCTGTATAAGGAGTATAATTATCTAAAGGATAGGGAGGCATTTGTGACATATATGCCATATCAAGTGTAGAGTTATTTGTCATCCTAATATCCGGGGGCATTTTTCCTTCCTCTTCTTCCCTTCGAGAGCCAGAGCTTGAACTGGAACTGGAGCTAGACGAGGAGCGTCGATTAGGCATAACTTCACTATCGGCCCATTTGGCCTGCGGGTGTATATCGGAATATGACGATGGACTGGCCATACACTCCAACGACATTGGAGTTTGGGAGATTCGCGGATCATGAGATGGTGTTAAAGACGTTTCTTTTTGCAGGGCTTCCATATGCGGTGGTATGGAATTCAAAAGTGTCTGTTCTGAAGGTTGATTATGTTGTTTTGGAGGATACTGATTTAGAAATTGTGATTCGTTTATTTGAGACTCATTTAAATAATTGCAATTTTCTCGTTGAGCATTTGTAAAGTTATTGCTCGGGGGAACCCAACGTTCATCGCCCTCTATATGAGTCTCATGAACTAAGTCATGAGGTTGCTGTAGAGAAACATTTTTAAGTGGTTCTGTAGAAACTGGTTCAGTGGGTGTAGACTGATACTGCTGTGACTGTTCATTAGTATTAGATTCAGATAACTGTTTTACTAATTGAGGTGTTATTTCATTTATAGTATCATTGTTAGGTAAAGGAGATTCTTGTTTATTGAGTTCACTTTCAGGTTCCTGAACTGCTATTTCGGGTATACTTTCACTCTTTTCATGATCCACAGAGTTACTCAAAGGTATATCATCAATATCTCCGCTGCTAGATTTTTTAGTAAGTCCCATACGAAGTTTTTCAACTAGATTTAATGTTTCCCTAGCGCTATCTTCTCTTGTGTCTTCTCTAATTGACGTGTTATTAAAAGGATACTGTAAAGAATCTTTTATAACTTCATCTTTAGAAAGAACAAAATTATCTAATTCCAAATCTAAAAGGTCCGTCTCTTTTTGATGAGGTTGGGGAGAAAATATTGATGTGTTTTCCAAGACTTCTAATGATTTGGTAGCATCCTCTGTTTCCTTTTCATAATCTTTTAGACCCGACTTTAAAATGTCTGCATTTGTATTAAAAGTGTCATTTAATTGTAAGGACATTGAATTAGAATACAAATCGCTCTCTGATTGATTGATAGTTTGAATATGATCTTGTGCGTTCTTTTCAATTGTAAGAGAATTATCTTCAAACTTCGACATTTTAAAAGAAGGTTTAATGGGTTCAGACTTATTTTCCTTAGTTTCGCTATTAGTTAATTTATCAGCAAATATATCATCAATACTCCGAGCTTTTACTGGAGATTTTTTAACGGATTTTCTCTCTGCCATTTCGAGTTTACGATCAATTTGTTCTTTTAGTTCTTTATTTGGAGACTTAATCAATGAATCGCATTTTAAACCTTCGGTCTTCTTAGCTAACTTATCAGGAACTTCTTTATTTTCGCTCAACGACTTAATCTTATTTTCTTGGCGACTGGTTTGATGTTTTTCTAAAACTTTCAGAGGACGCTCCGCTGATTTTTCTTGGATTTCGTTGGACTCCAATTTAGACTTACTTTGCATATTTTGTGATTTTTCTGATTTTTTATCCATCGAACCGAATAATTTATCTAAAGTTGACTTAGACTTTAATCCTCCCGTTTTGCCTGCTTTCCTTTCACGTATTTCCCGTTCCAAATCGACTCCTTTCGTCGAATAACTGGAAGAACTTTCAATCAGCTTTTTGTCCGTTTTGTTGAGCGCAGGCTGTAGCTCGGAGGCGCGATCGGACGCTTCCTCATTATTTCTGATAGCGGAATGTGCAAGATCAGTGTCCGATTTTCCCTTCCTGCTACCTCTGGACTCTCTTTCCACACCGACACGTTGGTCATTAGGTGGATCTCTTGACCGGACATCAGCATCTCCGACCCGATCACTGGCGTTTGTGCGTGATGGTCGTCCGCGCGGACCTCTTCCCCGCCCCCTTCGATTCTGTTCCTCTCTTTTAGAAGGCGACGTTGACAGTTTCTTGTCACCGCTGGGCTTGCGGCCTCTTCTCGTTGAACTCTCTGCCGCGGGCAAATCGCCGGTTTTGGACTGCGAGATCGGCGACACCCTTCGAGGCGATGGAGACCGTTTCTGAGGTGAGGGGGAGGACCTTTTCGTTGGCGAAGGGGATTTGCGTGGCGGCACAGGAGAGGCCCTGCGCACGCTCGAAGATGAACTGGAGTCGCTCGAGTCGGAAGAGGATGAAGATGACGCCGCGGACTGGGCTCCCTTGTCAAGAAAGGGCCAGTCCTTAGCATTGCCACTCCGCTTAGCCGTTTCTCGAGGCGACGTCTCGGAAAATAAGCCCTCGGTTCGCTGTTGAGCGCCACCACCGGATGCAGATGTACCTTTTTCTGCGTCGTCGTCGCTATCGGAACTAGATGTACTACCCGAATCTGAAGAACTAGTAGAAGAAGATGATGAACTGCTTGACGAGGGGGCTGAATGTACAGAAGATTTTCGCTTCGACTCTTGTATTTTAGCGGGAACTTTAGGGGTATCAGCTTCCTTCTTGTTAGTTTCTGACTTCAATTTAGTATCAGGTTCCTTTATATCTTTTTTTAGTTTTGTAACTGCATCCCCAGCTTCTTTCAATTTTGAATCAACATTCTGAGAATTATCAGGGGCAGTTGCTGGTTTACCTAAACCGCTTTTAATGTGCTCTGCTGCTTTCTTAGCCGCCTGTCTCTGAGGCACAAAAGATAATAGATCTACGTTTTCAGTATCTTTTGGAGAATGTTCAGTAATCACTTCCTTCTTTTCCTTCTTTTCTTTAACTTCCAGATCTTTCTCTTTTGTAGGTTCTTTAACAGTCCTCGGTTTTAATTTAACTTTAGGTTCTTTTTTATCTTTCTCTTCAACTTTAATCTGAGGTGTTTCATCTGGGACGACAGGGTGTTGTTCCTTTGATCGGTTTGTTAATTTCAAATTTTCCGACGCCTTCTTTGCCGCTTGCCTTTGTGGAACAATTAATTCTGATGGCACATAATCTTTTTTCTTACTTGCTGAATCTCCACTTTTAATTTTCTTCTTAGATTCTGGACTGGTCTTTGTAACGTTTTTGGAACCGCTAGGTTTGTGCGAAAACTCTTTGACAGCCGCTTTTGTTCGAAGTTTGCTCTGGGAATCGTTGGTCGCGTTTGAAGACTTATCGTCGTTCTTCATAGAGACGTCCGAACTGTCGCTGTCTGAATAAATCGAAGACATAGTTTTCTTCTGATTGTCGGAAGTACGAGTTGATTTAAATGGCAATAAATCATCACTCTCACTACCTGTATCTCCAAGTTCGCTAGCCACCTGGCCCAGTCGGGAGCGTGACGGAGGAGCTTCTTTTCTGGGTGGTTTATCGTCTTCACTACTTGTATCGGCTTTACTTTTTGACAAGAGTCGTTTCTTTGGACGAGCACCGGGTTTCCGAGGAGATTTTGACTTCTTCTTTGGAACTCCATCTTCTGAACTGCTTTGATGTTGATTTTCCTTATTATCCTTGGGCCTTTCGTCGCTACTACTAGCACTTGAAAGGCTGCTATCGTAGAAGCTAGCGCTTCTTCGTTTGGAAGACCCATTAAAGTACACTTTCTTATAAGGATTGTTCTTAACGTCGCGGAAAAGACCATTAATATCGCTTCGATGCTCATCTCCAGAATGCGATGGAGACTTAATGCCGGCAATTCGAGCTAAAATAACGTCAAAATCGGATGTGTGGTCCTCGGCCTCATTGTGCGAGTACAGACGGTCATAGATAGAAGGTCCATGGTTGGCCTCAATAACTGCTTGAATAACAGTAGTAGGTAGAGTATTAGATGAATCCAGTACCAGGGCTTGTTTGTGGAAAGTCTGTTCTCTCATGCGGAAAAAGCTGCGGCTAAGCTTTTCTCTGCGGCTCACCATGTAACACAGGTTTCGTACGCGCTCTAGATCTTGTCGCAGCTGTACAAACATCTTCATTTTCTCAAGATCAGCTTGTTCTCGTTTATGTGATAATATGTCGACGTCTTCCGACTTGGGCGGAAGAAGAGGTTTATTATTGCCCGCTTTACGTTTTAACCTCCAGTAGTTGTAAATGTACTGTAAACCTTCAGCATCTACATCAACATGCACATTGACATCTTTGATTGTGACGTGTTTAAAAAATTCCGATTCAATTTCTTGTAGTCGTGCTGCCCGGGCCTGATTTTTTTCTTCGTTTGTCATGTCTTTGCGCTTTTTTCGTTTACAGTCGTCATCTTCCGACCCCGAACATACACTTTTTTCACTTTTCTTGCTCGATTTGCTATGTTTCTCGCAATATGATCTTAGTTTAACGCCATCGTCGGCATTTTCGTCCTCAATTATGGCGCGCATTTCTAGTCCGTGTTTGAAAGCACATGTAACGTGATACGCCGTTTTACACGTTTTAACGGAACACTGTATGCAAGCACCAACGCGCTCACGACAAAGAACACAGATTAGAGCCCAGCGGCTAGATGGAATACTCGATATCTTAGTAATGGGTTCCTCCGTATTGACGATTTTTAGCCATGCCACGTCGCATTCGTCGAGATCGTACGAACAGGCCGCCTCAGCTTGGGCCGGTGCGTGAGATAGGGAGCATGCTTCCACGTCAAAATGGTCATCTTTTGTTATTCGAATGTACTTGTTTTTCGGCCTATAAAACAATACAGTTTAAGAATCTATGATTTTAGTATATTTTTATTATGTTTTAAAATTAAAATTATTAATCAAATGGCTTCAAATAGACCATATAAAGTATACTAATAATATACAGTATAATGTATAATACATATTCAAAGAAAACGCATTTTTTACAGATTTGCGATTCTCATTGATTTATTCTAATAATAATGACACTTAATTTAAATACATAATAACAATAATAATAAAAATATAGTATTTATTTAATGTACGTAACCAATCATCGATGTTAAGCAACGCGGTCATAATTGTATGGGTGACCAAATCTTTTTGTAGATTTTTTTTACTAATTTGTACAGAAAAGAAAAATCTGAAAGCCGTATTTATTTAATTAAATCACAAAAAACAGGGTTTTTAGGCAAGGAACGACGGTCCTAGCGTAAAAAAAGCAAGTAGCATATGAAAGGGCTTCGTTGACACAAGCTTAAACATATTTTTAATTATTGTTATTTAGCATTTTTGAGATTCGTTTTCATATATTTTTTCATGTTTAAACAAAAATGAAACAAGCCAAATTTTTGTCGCAAGTCTGAAAAAAGCCCTATCCCATTAAATAGGTCCGAGTAATATATGGATAGCCCCAAATACCGTATGATCGAAAAAAAAAACGGCGTCCAGTTGGCTGGAAAATGACGATCGATGACATTTCCCATATAATTTTACATATAAAATGACAAGCGATCTTCATTTCATAGCCCTGGTTGATTCCATTTTTTTCGATCATACGGTACTATCTCTATAAAACATAGAGATACAGCAATGATGCGATATATCTTTTAATTATTTAGAATAAAATATATCAGTTTAATAAATTAAACACTGATAAATGTTAAATAAGAATAAAAATGGCTAATCACTATTTTTTTAATTGGTATTGAATCAAGATTGACCTCTACAGCAATAATTTAGTAAGATTAGTTGCATTGCTTTACCATACAGGGTGTTTAAAATTCGGGTCTCGAAAACTCTCAGAGATACAGGGTGGCTTAATTTGGGTCAAAGCTGCCTGTTAGTGAGCCCAATGATAATTCGTTTAGTAATTCAACCAGGGTTAGCAAAAATCATGATTTTTTAAAAAAAAAGTAAAAAATACCAGAATTTTTTTATTTTAATAGAAAACATTATTTAAATTGGATTTCCAAATAATTAGGACTTATTTCCAATTAAAGTCCTATCCTAAATGGCAAAATCTTCATAACCTTGCCCGATACCGATAACATTAACAATTCTACGACGTTTGTCATTTTTCCACATTGGTCACCAAAATATTCCGAAATTAGTGCTATCAAATAAAGTGTAAAGTACTTATTGCAGATCGAAATGTCGGTAGAAATTTGGAAAGAACTAGGACATTGGATAACGCAGAAGTTATCTTGGTCAACATACAGCTGTTTCAAAAAAGATATAAAACAGCATATTTTCTGATAATGATAATAGATTCTCGGGAATGAAGATATAGTCTAACAACAGAGTAACCTAGTTCTGCACTAGAGTTTGAAATGACTCAGTTTTTTTAAAAACTTTATGTTTAACTACATAAATTTAAAAATATATCTCTGCCGTTTAGAGGTCTATAGATTCACAAGAAATTACTTCAAAAATCGGTCCAACATTTTCATTAATGAATAGATATAAAGTCTATGTGTTATACAAATAATTTTTTATATAGTTTTATTACATTTACAATATTTTTCGATTCATTAAAAATATTTAAACGTTACAATAGCAAGTGTAACATTTTATTTGATGAGGGTATATCTGTTATAGAAATATATTTTATATTATAACTTTTACAGTTATTTTTCGATTTATTATACAATTTTAAAAAAAGTTGATTTTTTTTATTTAAATCACATAAAATAAAAAAAGCACATAATTTAAATCATGCCAACCGTGAATTGAACTTATCCTTGTCATTTCTGGAAATATGTCGGAAAAAATTAAATTTTCAGTTTTCGTTTTTTATTTTTTGCGAGTTTATTTTGACAGCTAAAAAAAATCTATAGATACATTCTCAAAGAAGCTCAGTAGGCTAACGGCAGCAATGGTGCCCAGCGGGTAGGAGAGATGGCCTGCTGGGTAATAGAGCTCATACTGCATCATCATCGAGCTCGCGGCATGCGATCCGAACTCGAGCAGCTGAGTGCAACAACATCTCAACCAAACCGGCGATATGGAAGGGTGTGAAAAGGAACATTTTACCCCAGGAGGTAGCCCAACTTTGGGAAATCCTCCCACCTCCACTGAGGTGGCCGAGCCCCATTCGGATTCTGGGGGGGGCTCATTTTCACACGACGACAGTGATCCAGCAGTGGTACACTTGGCTGCTGGATCTTCCCAAGCCACAAGTGCACAGGAGAATGCTACCCAAGGCAGCAAAGGCGCCGGGAGTATCTCCTCTCGACTGGAGAATATGGAGATCGGAGGGACAACCGATGATGATCTCTCCATAGACTCCGACTCCGAGGAGGGGCTGCTCAATCCGGAAGCCGACGCAGGCCAAGGGAAAAGCATCAAGAGGAAAAGTCTAACGGCGTTCCAAAAGGCCAAAAAAGTCTACCGGAACGCTCAGACTTTTTTGAAAAAGATGAGCTTGAAGAAGAAGGAAGACTTGACCGAACGGGAAAGAAACCTCATCAAGCTCAACGAGAGAAAAATCTCCAAATTCGAGGCTGACCAACAGTCAAAGAAAATGGAGGTGATTCCTGAGGAAGGGGAGAAGCCGTCCTCCAAATCGGTGAGAAGGCTTCAGAGGTCCGACGCTATTGTGGAATCTCCAAAGTCAGCAGACCCCAAAAAACCAAAATCTGAAAAGATACCGGTTAAAAGGGGTCGGTCTGGCGAGGGAGAAGGAAACGTAGCAAAAAGGGCTAAACCCTCGACTAGCTTCGATTCGCCGGACGAATGTCAGGTCGCTGTCATTGATCGAGCTGATCTAGATGGCAAAATGACGCCCGAAAGGTGGATGGCGGTTGAGTCGAGGATCCTGATGGCTATCGCCGAAAAGGAGGGAGGCAGCGACGAGGAAGTGATCTTCGACGGGGCTGGATGGCAGAAAGGTGTCAAAGTTGTGGGTTGCAGCAACAGGTTGTCGCGAGACTTCCTAACGCAAGTAATCCGCAACTGCAACGACATCTGGCCAGGAGCCCGACTAGAGGTCATTCCCAGATCGCAACTGCCCCTAAGAAAAACGATCTCATTATGGATCCCTCCTCCAGTACCGGAGAAGGATGAGACAACGATGAAGATCTTGGCGAGACAAAATAAGAACCTATGGACACAGGACTGGAGGGTAGTCTCATCAGTCGCCAGTCCAAACGGAAAAGGAAGGGATATAGTGATCGCCATTGACGAGGCATCACTAGATCGCTTGAGGAAATCGGAAGGAAGCATCAAATTTGGTCTCGGGGCTCTAAAGGCGAGGCTTCCTAACGACAAGAATGGCACCAAGTCAACCAGGGCTGCGGGTGGTTCAGATTAATCTGAACCACTGTGAGGCCGCGACGGAGGATTTGATGCTGTTCATGAGTGAAAAGAAGGTGGACGTGGCCTTAGTCCAGGAACCATGGATCGCAAGAGACAAAATCCAGGGACTGAGGTCAAAAGAATACATTCTACTTCACCCACAGATTACAGGTAAAAAGAGAGCGTGTATAGTAGCAAGAAGAGCACTAAAGCTTACATTGCTATCCCATTACAGCACAAACGATCTGAGCGTGGCCACGTGCGAGGACCAAAAGGGGTTCAAACTTCTACTGGTCTCAGCATACATGCCATACGACGAAGAGAATCCCCCGCCGGAAGCGGTCCGAAATCTGGTTCGAGAAGCCAGAAGAATGGGCCAACAGCTGGTGATAGGATGTGACGCCAACGGCCATCACGTCCAATGGGGAAGCAAGGATATCAATGAAAGAGGTGAGTCAATAATGGATTTTATACTTTCTAATAACCTTACTATATGCAACAGAGGCAACGTGCCAACGTTTGCAAATAAAATTAGGCAGGAAGTTTTAGATCTAACCTTGACCACGGAGGGACGGGGTTTGATAGTCGAGGATTGGAGGGTTGATCTGGAGAGATCCTTCTCCGACCATAGGAGAATACTCTTTAGGATTAAACGAGAAGTCCCGCTTGTTAAACCCTATAGGAATCCTAGAAAGACGGACTGGAGTAAATATGAAAAACTCGTGAATAGGTATTCTAGCGAAGGGGAACTAACCCATATGCCGGAGAAATCGAATCGCGACTATATAGACAATACGGTTGAGAAATTAGGAGAAGTGCTTATTAGAGCTTTTAAAAATTCATGCCCTGTTAGCCGACCCCGTAAAAACACCAAACCGTGGTGGAACGCGGAGTTACGGCAGACTAGGACAGGAATAAAGAAGCTATACAATAAAGCACAAAAGGAGAAAACGGAAGAAAGTTGGGACGTTTATAGAAAGTGTTTCAACGAATATAAAAAGAAAATAAGAGAGGCTAAATGGGTATCGGTAAAGGAATTCAGTGAGTCCATCAGGGACACCAACGAGGCGGCCAGACTGAGGAAGGTACTGTCCAAAGAACCGATGGTACCAAGCAACATCAGGAGACCAGACGATTCGTGGACTGAATCCAACGCCGAGACCCTCAATCTTCTAATGGAGACCCACTTCCCTGGCTGCAAGGACCCTGAACCAAACGAAATCGATCGGCAAGAGCCGAGAGACGACAATGGATCAGGGGACGAAGCAGAGAAGAGGGAGAAGATCAGCAGGACCATCACAGAGGAGAGGGTAGCATGGGCAATTCGTTCATTTAGCCCATACAAGTCGGCAGGAGTGGACGAAATAACACCAATCATGCTGCAAAAAGCTCCAAGGAGCATCAATACCCTACTAACCAGGATCTTCCGGGAATGCCTATATTTGGGGCATATTCCAAAGAAGTGGAGAGAGGTAAAAGTGGTCTTCA